TGCACAGGACCTTGTGCAGGCGGGTCTTGAATATCTCCAGAGAAGGAGACTCCACCACCTCCCTGGGCAGCCTGTTCCAGTGCTCCGTCACCCTCAGAGGGAAGAAGTTCTTCCTTGTGTGTGGCACGGTGTTCCAGTTCCTCACTGCCGGCATGGTGTGAAAATTGGCATTGCTCCGTGTGTTTACGTTTCATTTGCCTTTTTACTTCATGTTAGTAAACATTAAACAATGCATCTGGAAGCAAAAGCAATACTGCACGTAATCAGTGATGGACTTTGAACTGTGGCTGCTCAGGAAGGATTTTTAAATTGTAAAGAAAGAAATAAGGATCAACACAAAAGCAAATTCTCTCAGAATAGTGCGTGATAGATACAGATCTTCGGTGCTGTGTGGTTCGGGCTCCCTCCATCGTGAAAGATACAGTGGAGTTAGAAAAGAGAGAAGGCTGAGGGCCGGGATGCTGAAGGTGCAGACTGTCATTTGGTCGGGAAAAGAGAGAGCTTTTGGGGGAAGGGGGAGGGAGTGTTAAGGGTCTGTTAAGTGGCAAGTGATATGGAAGTAAACAGGGAATGACAGTGATAAGAGAGTTATATCTTAGTTAATTGAGAGAGTTCACTGGAACGATCCTGCAGGGCGCTATGCAAAAGCTTGCACACTTAACAGTTGATGCTGCTTGTTCTGGTGGGGGAATTCTGAGCTTGAGTATCATTTTTAGATTCCAAGTTTAAGACAAGTAAAAGGAAACACAATGCTGATTTAAACCGGGGGATTCCTTCCTGCATATTCTGTAAGTTTGCAGGGATTCAAAAAACTGACAGAAATATTCACATAAGGAGAAGTTTTGAGGGCCGTTAATAACAGTGTGTGACCCAGGAGTGGGAGCTCGCTGCATGTTTGCCACGTTCGTAGACCCTTCCTGTTGGAGGAGGGATATTGGAGCAGACTGTTTATCTCTTCTGGTACGACTGTTCCCATGTTTTATGTTTTACAATATTAAAACTCAGCATCATATCGGTTACTGATTCCAGGCTGATTTAGTAGTTTACAGTTGGTTTTTGTTACTGAGACCAGCTTAGATTTGGTTGCTGTTCTCTGCTCACACTGGGCAGTTTGGAAGAGAGACATCACTGTTGGAAAGTGGTGGCAGATTTTCACTGATGAAACAAAAAGTTTAAAAGATGAAGTTTTGATATTTTCGGGTGCTTCTCTGTACGGTCGTAGGTTGCAAGCTAGTCTGAGCGAGGCATGATGTGAGCTTGCTTGATGTGAGCTCTGGGTGGTACAAGTTTTTGGGCTGGAGAGAGTAGCTGGAGACCCTGTTTTGTTTTTCTTGAATGTCTGATACTTTTTTTGTTTCACTTTGGTTTAGTGAAAAAGTAAAAACTCAGAAGAATCCCTTTAAAATGTGTGTTTTCATCTTTTGGAAGCAGAATTGATATTACTGGTTTTGTTTTTAAACTTGGAAGCTCAGTCTTTCTTGTCTTGTTTCAGCTCTGGATGAAGGAGATATTGCCTTGCTGAAAACCTATGTAAGTACCACACATACACAAAAGTGTTAAAGAATAAAAATAAAGTTCTGTTGGGAGCTGAATGCAAGAGTGGAGGGATGTGTATTTAGTGAGTAGTTAGTAAATCTGCTTCTCCTGCTGCTTTTCTTTCCTGCCAAAATCTTTCCTCCCTTCCCCTTCCAATGAGGAAGTTCTTAAAGAACAATATCTTGAAGATCCCTTCTCCCATCAAATTTACTTGCTTTTAGCCATTGTGTTAAAAAACTATTAGTGAGGGATACACAGACCTCACTCATCAAAGAGAATGTAATCTTGGGAGGTGTCTTCTGAGGACAGTAAGGCTTGGAATGCAAATCTCTCCTCTCCACCAGGAAGCACAGCGGGTCTGTGAAAGAACTTTTGAAAACTGGATCTTGTAGCTTAGGGTATGCCTGCATTTGGATGTATTTGCCAGAAGTCTGAATTCGGTTGGCACTGAGACTCCTTTAGGAAGCTCTGGAACTGGGGAAGGACTCCAAAATACGGCTCGTGCCCACTGCGGCTTCTTTTTTGTTAACAAGTTGATACGAAGCAGATCTTGTAAAGGAAATCCAGATCCAGATGTGCCGGCATTAGGCAGGGCAAGATAGTAAAGTGCTTTATCACAAGCAAGAATCTGGCTTCTGATTTGCCCTATGATCTTTGCTATCTTCTGTGGAAAATAGAAAGGTTGGGTAAGGTAGTTAAAGCACTCGTACAGATGATTTTCAGATAATGTATACAGAATTCTGCCTTGATGTAATTTTTGTTACATCTTTTTTAAACTTTAGAAAAAATAATTTAAAAAAGTTAAGGCTGAACAGGTTTAAAAGAAAAACAAATAAATCCTTGAAGTTTACAAATGTGAAAAATTTCCACTTGCGCAACTGGTCAGGTGTATGTAGCTGTACTCTGTTTTTGCAAACAGAAATATTGTTACTGGAACTTCACAGTGTCCTTTTTGGCTGTGATCAGTAGTTGGCTGTTACACCGAGGCAGTCTATTGAATATCTTGACACTCAGCAGCTATTGGCATTTTTGCCTAAACATAAAATAATTCGAGTTGCGAAGTCTACGTGCTGTTTCTTTTCCAGGGCCAGAGCACGTACTCAAGGCAGATCAAGCAAGTCGAAGACGATATTCAACAACTGCTTAAGAAAATCAATGAGCTCACTGGTATCTATCTTTCTTCAGATAACTTTCAATAGAAGAGCCACATGTACCAAACTGGGTGTTTTAAGAAGCTGATTTTAAATGACTTCTGCGTTGGTTTATTACTGTTATTCTTCTCAAAAGAATACATTTGTTTATTTGGTAATGTGAGATTTTTGCTTTGTAGGTGATGGTCTTTTTGATTGGGCTGGGCTAACCTGTACATATGATGATGCAATTTTGTAGTTTAATGCGTTTTTATTCAAAACTGTAATTTTTATGTATTATGGTAGCATGAAACAAACGCCCTTTTCTACCACTGGATAACTTGTCGTCATTAATGTCAAGCTGTATTTGAATAGTGAGTGAACTTCCACAGACTGCAAAAACCCAGCGTATTATCATTATGTAATGGTACCAGTCCTTGTCTAATGAAGAAAGGTGTGTCGGAGCAGTTAGCATTTAAAATCAGCTGGTTTAAAATCAGCAGGTCAGTTATGGCAGTTACAGTAAAAAATAATTTGTTCCCTAATTGCTCTTTGTTTGTTTCGCTGCTGTGTATTTGTTGCCCTGTTGCTAATCTGTAGCGGCTCTCGGTTCTGCCAGGAAGCCCGCAGTTTCTGTTTTCCAGTAAAATCCTTGATTCTAACAAATACATCATAGAGACGGCACTTTCTATATCTGTGTTTTGGAAAGTGTATTAGGTTTTTTATCTTAAAATAGATTAGAAGAGTATTGTTATTATTCATCTTAGAATGGAGTAGCATTAGGTTTTTGATCTGTGTGAATCCCTTAGCTTCTGATACCTTGCACTAAAGCTTCTCCTCAATGAAAGCAGTTGCGGAGTTTCACTCCTTATGTGAAACTTCTAGAAACGTGCTTATCTCTCTATCAAGTTTGGTTGTAATCGTCTCCACATTGCAAAATTGTGTTAGAGGATGGCTAGACTGGTATTTGCGTGTTTAGCTGGCGCAGTCACGTAGGCCTCATTTCTTTAGGAAACTCGTTTTTTAGGAAGTTCATGAAAGATGGGTGTGCTTGCGTTTTGGTGATCTCAGAAAGCTTCCTGCAGGCTTAATGTCTAAGGTTCTTGATGTGCAAAGGATTGCTGACGTACCAGTTAGCTTCTTCCTCCTCAGCTTGTCCCTGTTGCCCATAGGAATCAAGGAATCCGACACTGGTCTGGCTCCTCCTGCCCTTTGGGATCTGGCTGCAGATAAGCAAACTCTCCAAAGCGAGCAGCCACTACAGGTTGCAAGGTGAGTGCACTCTTCCTCTTTGAAATAGAGCTGCATAGTGTTAAAATTGTAGTTTATAGCTTGTGTGTAGACGTTTTTAGAAAATAAGGTTCACATGTTGTGCATATTGATAGCACAAGGGATAATGGCTTTAAACTAAAAGAGGGCAGATTTAGATTAGATATAAGAAAGAAATTCTTTACAATGAAGGTGGTGAGGCACTGGCACAGGTTGCCCAGAGAAGCTGTGGCTGCCCCCTCCCTGGCAGTGTTCAAGGCCAGGCTGCATGGGGCTGTGAGTAACCTGGTCTGGTGGAAGGTGTCCCTGCCCATGGCAGGGGGGTTGGAACCGGGTGGTCTTTAGGGTCCACCTACATCCATTCTACAATTTTGTGATTTGAAAGTGCCTTTTACCATTGTGTCAAAAAGGAACTGTGTTATGCTTGATGATGTATTACATACTTCATACTTATTCCTGTAATTACTGTATGATGGTATAATAAAAGAATCACAAGTACAATAGCTATTTAGGTGTATTTTGAAAATATGATGCTCTCGATGCTTATACGGATAGCAAGCCGGTTAGTTTGTCTGCCTGGTGGTGTTAATTGCATGTTCTGCGTTAGGTGTACCAAGATAATCAATGCAGACTCTGAGGATCCCAAGTACATAATCAATGTCAAGCAGTTTGCCAAGTTCGTCGTGGATCTCAGTGACCAGGTGGCACCTACTGACATAGAAGAAGGCATGAGAGTTGGGTAAGCAAAATCTTCGTGTTCTTACGAGTTTTACTGGAGGCTGAAGCTTTCTCATCTGATCCATTAGTTTGACAGATCAGCAACTGTCATATTTTTGCAGTGGTTGAATTTGTAACAATAGTGTCTTTCTGCTGGAAGACAGTAACTCACCTGCATGCTGTGCTGGAATCTTTTGATGTTATTCTAACGAGAACCGTGCATCATAGACTGAAACCTTTCAGTTTGGGTCCCAGTAGTCCCAGCTTTCGGGGAGCCTGCGTAGCCTGCTTCCTCTGTGGCAGTCTGCAGAGTTACACACTGGGCGTCTATGGGAAATGCTCGCTGAGGAGGTGAAGCAGTTACTTTTAGAATCAATGTTTTGCCAGTTTGCTCTGTGGGATATTTTGAAGTTTAGTTTTTCAAAATACTTTGGAATTAATGTTTTTGGAAACCTTAAACTTCTCTGTAGAAGGAATTATAGTCTCTAGCCCATCCTGACTGTTAGCTTTAAGGGCTGGCCTGTCTTGATGCCAGAGAAAAGAACAGTTTAAGAATTCAGCTTCTACTTTACAGGGTTGTTTCTACGTGACAGTTTAATTAACCGGTGTTAAAATAATAGTCTTCATGCTTTTTCACCAGGGTGGACAGAAACAAGTATCAAATCCATATCCCCTTGCCTCCAAAGATTGATCCCACAGTCACCATGATGCAAGTGAGCACTGCCTTTACTTATTATGACATTGCTTTGTCTTGTAATTTTGATTACTTCGGCTGGATTTGGTTCTGGGCTCTAGAAAGCCTAGAGGGATATGCAGCATCAGGCTGTTAACATCAGGCTCACTCACTTATTTTTCTGTGCAGGTAGAGGAAAAACCAGACGTCACTTACAGTGATGTTGGTGGATGTAAAGAGCAGATTGAAAAGCTGAGAGAGGTGGTGGAAACCCCTCTGCTTCATGTAAGTAACCTCCAGATTGAAACTTTCCCGATTTGAAAGCGTTCTCGTCATCTGTTAACATTTGAAAAAGCAAGAAAAGGTAACGTAACTACATGTAAACACCAAAGTGAAAGGAAGCCTGCTTTTAACAAGTGGAATCCAGCCTAGCCTGGTTTGTGTTGTTCTTCATTTATGACTGTCTCAATTCACATATACTTTTTGATACACATAATCTTTAATTTGCACATAACCTTGCCTTCTGTTTCCCGCCATTACAGCCTGAAAGATTTGTTAACCTTGGGATTGAGCCTCCCAAAGGAGTCCTTTTGTTTGGGCCACCTGGTACAGGCAAAACGCTTTGTGCCCGTGCTGTTGCTAACAGGACCGATGCCTGCTTCATCAGAGTAATTGGATCTGAACTGGTGCAGAAGTACGTGGGAGAGGTAAGAGCAAAAGCTTGATGGAGGTGTGGAGCCATTTGCAGATGTCCTGTTGTGGGGACCAGACACCGAAGCGGGTGTGGTGGATGAATGTGCTTGCATGCTGGAGATACAAGTGGGGGAGGAACTGTCAAACAAATCCCTGTGGATCAGGCCGTCAGGTGTAAGACCTGAGCTGTGCAGTCATCGGTGAGATGGGTTTTGCAGTGCAGAGTTTAGTCTATGGTTTGAGAGGGCTCTAGGATTAGGATTCTGTTCCAAACTCTGCCACTTATTTTTCATGTGGCGCTGAGGTAGATGACTTCATCTGTACTTCTGAATTTAAGAGTAGTAATCTGTCTCTCCTTTATAAATTGCCTTAAGATTTATTAGTGTTTTGTTATATATATGTGTACAAATAAAAGAGTGTTGTCATTGGAAACTTAGAAGTGTTTGGAAGCATAAAAAGTTTAATTTTGATAGTTTTCCTTTAACGTGTGTTGAATCTCTAACAAAATCTTGGGTTTTTTGATTTCAGGGAGCTCGAATGGTTCGTGAACTCTTTGAAATGGCCAGAACTAAAAAAGCTTGTCTTATATTCTTTGATGAAATTGATGCCATTGGAGGTATGTGTGTAGTATCTATAGCTCTGATCTCATACAAAGAACTTCCAGGTTTTCATATTGTAATTCTTTTATCTGTATTGCTGCCTGTCAGGAAATGTGCTCGTTCATATCTGTTTAGTCAAACTACTACCAGCACGTCCCAGTCTGGGAAGCTATCAAGAAGTGGTTTGTGTAGTCTGAACATACTTAGCCCAGATGAGAAGTCATTTTTGCATGTTTGGAACACCCAGATTATGTAAGCTTCAGTGAAGAATCTCTGTATTGTGTTTGCAAAAAATACTGTTAACGTAAACCCCCTTCAGCCTCTTGACTACACACTACATCTTTATTACTGCCAGAAAATTAAATATTTTTTTTCCCCAAAGAAAGTACTTAGGTCCTGTGAAAGCTGAACAATTTTTACACAGACAAGGCAGTGGGGGAGATTTTGGTGGAAGGGAGGCAAAACAAACCAACCAACCACATTTATAAATTTCAGCAGCTTGGCAGGGCCAGAGGCCCTTTCGCACTGAGGAGGAAGATACGGTGCTTATAACTGACAGATAACACCACTCACTCTTTGTTTGAAATGTGTCATTTTCAAATAACTCCCTCACACCTTTTTTAAACTCGGCATAAATATTTGTGTGTAATTTTAAATTATTTTTCCCGGTTTTCTGCTATGTAGCAGCTGTGACACCCCCTGCATGCTCCGATGGTCCCTCTCTTCCTCTGTGAACCCCTCTGTCTCCTCTCCCCAGGTGCTCGTTTTGATGACGGGGCTGGGGGTGACAATGAAGTGCAACGTACTATGCTGGAGCTCATCAACCAGCTGGACGGTTTCGACCCACGAGGCAACATCAAAGTGCTGATGGCTACCAACAGACCCGACACTCTGGATCCGGCCCTGATGAGGCCTGGCAGGTTGGACAGGAAGATAGAATTTAGCTTGCCTGATCTTGAGGTGAGAACGTTTTCTTTCACAGCTAAGCATATTCTGATATCAGAGAGTTTCTTCAGTGAGGGGGATTATTGTCTGGAAGCAGTTTATGAGAATTAATGAAAGCAGCACTCTTAACTTACGTTAAACTACGTGGAAATTTGGGGTATTAAATGTGTACCGAGAAGGTTTTCCCCACACTGCACAGATTCCATCCCTCGCTGAGAAGCCATGGTAAAGAGCTACATTCACTGCCTATTCCTGACTCAGCAGATAAGGAATCCTGTAACCAGTTCCGTGATTCAGTTCTTGAGTTGGAATGTGTATTGTTTGGCTCTTCTGAGACAGATTTCTTGAGGTATTTCTTACCATTAAAGCTCTTAAGTTATTTTCTTAATTTGGTATCATAGGCACTTAAACGTGCTAGTCCAGACATAGGAAACTGGGGAGCAATAAAAGATTGACTTTCTATCTGCCCTCGCTCTGCATGTGGACAGCTGCGCGCTGAGAGTTGTCACCTCTTTCATAGCATGAGCAATTCTGTCCTCTCTTTCTTCAGGGGCGAACTCACATATTCAAGATACACGCGCGTTCCATGAGTGTTGAAAGAGACATAAGATTTGAGCTGTTGGCTCGGCTGTGTCCGAATAGCACAGGTAAGCTGATTTTTTTTTTTTTTTAAACAATTTTGTGTATGCTTCATCTCCACTGGTGGTCAGGGTTGAATTCGTTTATCCCTTTCTTTCAAAGGCGCTGAGATTCGCAGTGTCTGCACGGAGGCAGGCATGTTTGCTATTCGAGCACGTCGAAAAATTGCAACAGAGAAAGACTTCTTAGAAGCAGTGAACAAAGTCATTAAATCATACGCGAAATTCAGTGCTACCCCCCGCTACATGACCTACAACTAATATCTCGGAATGTTTTTCCTGTTCCTGTTGTTAAACTTCCAGTCAAATAGAAATGCAAATGTAGTAATTCATGTCTTGTTCTTGGAAGCTAGAAATAAATGGAGTATTCCAAACAGTAGGTGAGAGTTTGTGATGAGTGTGTTCTACACCAGTGGAGTATTGCTGCTGCAGAAAAACATCTCAGTGAAGAGCCAGCAACACAGCCTGACCCGAGCCGTGTTTAAATCAGATACCTGGGCAATCCCAGGTTCAGCTCTCCAGTCACCCTGTACACCCCAGAACGTACCATCTCAGCTGGTGGGCACTGCGAGATCCCCAGGGGACTGCAGTGTTTCGGAAATGCTTTCGCGATGCTCGGCACCGGGGTGTAGGTGTATCCCAGGAAAACCTTCAGGAACTGCATGGGAAGAGAGCTGAGGAGAAGGCACGTGAGGCTCAGCTCAGGTGCCTGGTGGTCTGAGTCACTGTCCAGCGTAGGGAAGACGTGAAGGGCTGTTTTTTCTCTCCATGGGTGAACGCTCTGGTACCATCATAACTTGTGGGTTTTTTTCCTTCATTGGTTTTCTTCATCCCTTTTGCTGAGATTTTTCCTTTCTTACAAAATAGTAAATGTTGGGTCAAGAGGGAGGAAGAAGCAAGTGTGATTCCATTGCACTAAGAGAAGGAAGATTCCTGTCTCCTGTTCCTGCTCTAAAAAACCCTACGTTTGCATGAGTGAGCACTTTGATAGATTGTGTTACTTGGCCGAGCTGCTGCTGCGCACGGAGGATGGCCCTGGCAGGGTCCTCATGCTCCGGGGCGTGGGTGGCAGCTGCTGGTTGATGTCAGCAGGCACCATTAAATTAAGGTTGCTCTTCATCCACCTGGCATGCTCCTGTCCAGCTGCAGGGTTTGGGCAATGAAAAGCAACAGCCTTGCCTCTGCTCTTTTCCAAGCGTTGCATTAAAGCTGGGGTGGGGAAGAGCTTGAAGAAATATCGGGGGGAAAAGCTTTTGGGAACTGCTTTGTCTTGGAAGTGAGAGGATTTTTTATCACATCCTGCCTCATTACAACTGACATCAATTTGTCAAGCTTAGGTTGTGAAGCCACTTCATGTGTTTTGAAGGGGGGGGGGGGGGGGC